ACCAATAATCATCTTTCAATTAACCTAGTCTTCTCCTTCCCTCCGAACCAACAAGGCGTAGTATAGGAATATTCACCTATTCACCATTGAGTATGCCTTTCGGCCTGATCTTATGCCCTGACTCATCCTTCATGGACGAACCTTGTGGAGGAACCCTTAGGTTTTCAGGGCATTGGATTATGACCAATGTTTATGTTACTCAAGTCGACATTCTCACTTTTGATTCATCCAAATCTGCACGTGGGTGCTTCGCTCTAAGGTGGAGTACCAATGCATTTTCACATCTCATATATTTGGCAAATCGCTTAGCCCTATCCATCTTCAACATAAGAGCACTAGATAAATGAGTTATTGCACTCTTTCTGGGCAAACCTCCTAGTTGTGTTTGCACCCCCACCTCCTTTTTCATTGAGCTGTCATTTTGGGGTCTTAATTGGTGATCTGGGTTGTTTCCCTCTGGACAATAAAGTTTATCCCCTTTGCCTTATTGATTGAACTTAATCCCTCTTATTTTTGGGTCATATTTGATGTTTAGAGTTTGTCTCGATTCGGTGTCACTCTTGCATCTCGCGTTAACACAGTGCTTTACCCCAGGATGTCTACTCAACTGTAACACCTCAATGCCAGCTAGCTCTAGGTACGAGTGACATTTCACCCCTAAAATCTGCTAATTCTTCAACATCAGTCAGTTGGGACCTACCTCTTAAACTAATTAAATTTATTCAAATAAAAGATAATAAATGGTCTAGCATCATAGGTCTCTAAGTGAATAGGAATATATTAACATATTAAGGTATGGGGATTTCGCCTTTATAGTTAAGGTGAAATTGAATGCTTATATTTATTCACAATATAGCTAATTCTTTTAAGTCATGTATTCAACTCCATTTGATTTGGTGCCTTGATGTAAGACAAACATAATTGCCCAGTTTCCCTTCAAATTTAAAAGTGATTTCATGAGTTCTTTTGACAGCTTGAACAACTGTTTATTAAAATCCCTGGATTTCAATGTTGATCGAGGAGCAATGCACCACCAGTTCACATGTTGAGTAAAGGTTTTTTCTCTTTTTTTTCCCTTTTTTAACCTTTTTTTCTTTTTATTTCCATGTTGAGTAAAGTTGATAGCATTATCATTCATAGTTTCTATAATCACCTGATTGCCCTTCATTTCTGGGTAAGTCTCGGGCTCATTGATATGAGCACCATTCCGTGGCACATTGATAGTAGCACATTGTTACTCACAGCAAGCACTAAATAGATGTCAACATATTTTCTACATCCAATTTGTGGCCCAAATGTTTTTTTAGGATTGATCCAGTGAACCTACGTATTGTGCAGGTTGCAGGAGAATTTGGAGCTTAAACTTTAATTACAGATCACACCGTTAAACAGAAGACTTTATTCAAGATGACACCTGTAATTCATTGCTATATAGGCAATATCTCTCTTCCTCGAATTGTTTTCAGACCAAAGAATGAGATCTACTTACCAAGATGTGATACTTCTGAAACGAACACTAGGCTAAAATCATCTCAAAGATTTATTTTACCACATTCATCATCAAGACTGTTTCAGCTACACAGAAATCGCTTTTGTTCAAGAGTCCAAACTGCAGCAGCTGTTGATACTGATTTAACTGTAGAAGAACCAAATCCCACTGTATCAGGTGAAGTTGCTGATGGAAGCTCACAAGCACAACCAAGTACTGATGAATCAGGTGGACCTGCCCCAGCAAATCCAACTACCACTTCTAGTAAAGTCAAATGCACTAGACCCACGAGGAAGAGTGAGATGCCTCCTGTTAAGGATGAGGAACTAGTTCCAGGTGCTTCATTTATAGGGAAAGTAAGATCAATACAACCATTTGGTTGTTTTGTGGACTTTGGGGCCTACACAGATGGTCTGGTACATGTTTCCAGGATGAGCGATGGTTATGTTAATGATGTTGCCTCTGTTGTTTCTATTGGAGAAGAGGTGAAAGTGAGAATTGTGGAAGCCAAGAAGGAGACTAGATGGATCTCTCTGACAATGCATGATAAGGATGACAGCTAAAATCCAACCGAATAGAGTGACAGACAGAAGCAGTGAAAAGCCAAGACCTGGTAGAAAAAATGCTTCAAGGTCAAATCAGAAGCAAGAGGAGACCAAAAAGAGCTCAAAGTTTGTCAAGGGGCAAATTTTAGATGGAACTGTAAAGAACTTACAAGATCAGGAGCTTTTGTGTCACTCCCTGATGAAGAAGGGATTCTTCCTGTGTCAGAAGAATCTGAAGGATTTGGTGGCATCTTAGGGAGTTCATCTTTGCAGGTTGGTCAAGAGGTCAATGTTTGGGTACTGCATATTGCCAGAGGACAGGTAACTTTGATGATGGAAAAAGAAGAAGATATTGAAGGATTAAACATGAAACTTAATAAAGGTGTGGTCCATATAGCAACAAATCCATTTGAGCTGGCTTTCCGCAAGAATGAGGAAATTACTGCTTTCGTCTCTCGAGGTGAAATCTTTGGTTGATGACCTTGCCATGCAAGTAGCTGCATGCCCTCAGGTCCATTATTTGGTTTCTGTAGATGTCCCTGAAGAAATTGTGAAGGAGAGGGAAATTGAAATGCAGAAGGAAGATCTTTTGACAAAACCTGCCAACATAAGATCGAAAATAGTAGAGGGCTGAATTAAGAAGAGGCTTGAAGAATTTGCTTTGCTTGAGCAACCTTATAAAAAGAATGATAAGCCGGTAGTTAAGGATTTGGTTAAGCAGAGAATTGCAACCCTTGGAGAACATATCAAGGTCAAAAGGTTTGTCGGGTACAATCTTGGAAAAGGCTTGGAGAAGGAAAGCCAGGATTTTGCTGCTGAAGTGGCTGCACAAACTGTGGCTAAACCTTCACCTGCAGTCCCAATGGATCAACCTACTGAAACCAAGGAAGCTGTTGAGAAGTAAGTCTTTCTATTCCTTACATAGTTTGTATGTCGTGTCTAGGGCTAGTCATGATTTTGTCACATGACACAAGATTTGGCTTTATTTACTAGCTGACCAACAAGGAAGGCATACTGTGAAATGTAGAATCCAGAGCCTTTAGTTTCTTGCGAAATAATATGTCGTCCCTTTAAGCTTTCATTTCTTAACTGCTGCTCCAGTTTTGATTACCGAGGAAGTTAATTATGCTGGTGGCCATCATTTCTTCCTAATAAAGAAGAAAGAACAAACCGATAAAAAAAGTAAGAACATGGATTTTGAAGTTGAATTACCATAGTTAGTCGATGATTCTAACTTTTATCCCTTTAATTACTACCATCTCTTTCTCACATTCTCTGTTCCAAAATGCATGTGGTATCCTTTTATGCAACAGTTTGAACATCAATATGAGATATAGGCCTGTTTATTTGATTGTGAATCCACTTTGATCGAGTCTCGCATTTAGAAGATTCTGACCAACAACCTTCCTGTTTCAGGCCTGAAACAATTGCAGTGTCAGCTGTATTGGTGATGCAACTTAGGGAGGAAACAGGTGCTGGCATAATGGACTGCAAAAAAGCAATTGCGGAAAGTGGTGGGGACATTGAGAAGGCTCAGGAATACCTCGGCAAGAAGGGCCTATCATCTGCTGACAAGAAATCATCCAGACTAACTGCCTAAGGTCGGATTTCATCCTACATCCATGACTCTGCATTGGTGCACTCGTCGAGGTCAACTGTGAAACCGATTTTGTGGGTCGGAATGAAAAGTTCAAGGAACTGGTCGATGACCTTGCTATGCATGTAGTGGCCTGCCCGCAGGTTGAGTTTTGTCTCTATGGAGGATATCCCAGAGAGTATTATCGCGAAGGAGAAGGATATAGAGATGCAGAGAGAGGATCTTCAGTTGAAGCCCTTCATCAAAGATGATAGCATTAAGGTGAAGGATCTGGTGAAGCAGACAGTTGCTGCCCTTGGAGAGAACATCAAAGTGAGGAGGTTTGTTCGCTTCACTCTCGGAGAAAACTAAAAACCGAAAAATGAGCTGTGCAAATTTTTAATCGTAATAGGCTGTCCACATGAAGAGTTGAGATGACTTTTGGACGCAATTGTGACTCTTTAATCTGTAGAGCTCCGCTTTTGTGCTTAATTTGTCGAATCATTTATGAACAAAGTCACCATTTTTTTTTTGGCCTTCAAGTCACAATTCTGGAATTGCATGTTGCATTTGCTGTCATGTTGTCTCTTTGTCGTCTGTGTTTCAGATTTCTGCACTTGCTGAACTGCTAGACAACTGCAAATTGCTTCACATCCTAAACTGAAGAGTGATAGATTCCATATTGCAATAGATGATGAGTTGTGGGTTAAGACCTCCAGAATCTGAAGCTGCATTGAGTAGGTCGTAATACCTTATGCACTCACTCTCTCATCACACCTTATGCATTATGTAAGTGTCTTATGCACTCTTTCAACAACAGCTATGGTAAGACGTAATGTCTTAACGTCCAACTTATTTGAGATGCGCCACTTGGGAGTAAAATGTAATATCTATTAGATCTCATTATTCTAAACAATCTTAATCCCCTATTAATGTCTTAACTTGCTATGTTATTCCTTCTAAGAAAGTTTAAGCTCTCTTACAAGAAATCCACATTACCTGTTTTTGATAGATTTACAGCTATTGGGTCATTGTGCTTTGCAAGGGAAATATTCCAATAAAGATTGAGAAGTGATTATTTATTTTTCTCAATAACAATACATAAACATATGCGTTCAATGAATGTCATCACAACATTCCCTACTTGGTCATCATATTTACATTCTGCCTTCACCATTAGACATTTGACACTTTCTCTTTGTTTTGTGCTAATGCCTTATTCATCTATGCTATGTACAAGCACAAGATTTTTTCAATTATTTGTGCCAACACAACTACTCAAGTCTGTCCACAAGCCGAAACCTAGAAAGCAACATCAAAATAAAAGGAAAACACAAATAGTCATTGATAAAACCAAATAACAATGTCTAAGTTAATTAGCAGTAAAGAATAGAGTGGCAAAATGTAGAGGATCCTATAGCCATGATTATGGCAATTATTTCATCTTCCACTTATGTCCAAAGAGAAACTGACATGCAAGTGATAAAATTTGAGGCAAGGTTCTAATCCAGTAAACAAAGAGCCCTATAACAAAATTCAGATGGATGCAGAGCATAGAACTAAGCAGTGGCAGTTGCGCCAGCAGCAGCCAAGCGCTTTCGTGCCTCCTCAATGATGCTGAGCTTGATTCCCTTGCCCTTTGGAAGAGACACCCATGGCTTTGTCCCCTTGCCGATCGTGAAGACGTTGCCCATGCGAGTCGCAAACTCATGGCCAGTGGCATCTTGGACGTGGATGGTGTCAAAGCTCCCCTTGTGCTTCTCCCTGTTCTTAATCACACCGACACGACCGGTGTTTCTCCCACCAGTCACCATCACAACATTTCCAACATCAAACTTGATGAAGTCGACGATCTTGTTGGTTTCCAAGTCAAGCTTGATGGTGTCATTGGCCTTAATAAGAGGATCAGGGTAGCGAATGGTACGACCATCATATGTGTTCAGGTAGGGAATGCCCTTCTGTCCAAACTGCACGGAGCGAACCTTGCAGAGCTTGAACTGTAAATGGTGAAAATGGACTTTCAACACATTGATAGATTTCAAGATTTTTAACAGCAAACCAATCCGCAAAACTGCACATAACTAGTTCTACCATTTACTACTCATTTTAGTGTATGGAAACAGAATGAATTACGATGTTCACTAAACATGTTGGTCTTGGAAATTCTAACATTTACGAAATGTTATGACAAATCACAACATTGATCAAGATAAATCCACAAATACATATTTTTTATGCTCAAATTATCATCAAAATTTTATTGTCATGAGTCCCACAAATATTCACAAAGAAACCAAGCACAATGTCTACATACCTTTGCCTCTTCATCCCTAACTGAGTGGAGACGAAAGCGTCCCTTGGTGTCATAAAGGAGTCGAAAGTTCTCATTTGTCTTAGGTATTGAAACAACATCTGCAGATTACAAACCATGTTAGGTAAATAATCAAGCAAATAACAAAGATGTAAATCATGAATGAGAGATAGCTAATTTTAAGTTTTAACTCTTAACATTATTGTTATTTTTTAACATTATCGTCATTTTCAACAGTTTTGTTGCAAAAAAAAGACCTTCCACCAGAAAGAACAACATATCACGTCTCATCAGAAAAGGGTTGATTGCATACCCATGAAACCAGCAGGGTAAGTCTTGTCAGTCCTGACTTTCCCATCCACCATCACATGGCGTTGCATCAGAATAGCAATGACTTCACGGTAGGTAAGAGCATATTTCAGTTTGTTCCTTAAAATAAGGATCAAGGGCAAGCATTCCCTGGCTTTATGAGGGCCAGACGACGGCTTGGGAGCCTGGCAGATGACCAAAACTATGCAAAGTGAAACAAAGTGCGTAAATCAAACGATGGCTCAAAAGAAAAGATTTCAACTTACGAATGCTCCACCAAGCTTATCCAGCATCCAGTGCTTTGGGGCATTGAGCCTCTTCAGATGCTTCTTCAATCCCCTTGCCTGAAGCGCATCAAGGAAAACAAGTCAAGCAAGCAAAAAGAAAAAAAAAAAGGACGAGGTGACGAGCAATTAGAAGCAGATAACGTTATAACCTAGTTTGACAAAATAGTTCATCAGAATCTTCCCTAGTTCTTGACAATTATGACTGACAACAACAATCTCATAAACCAATCACTGTGATGTTTCATGCCTTCTGAGAGTACAAAAGCATAAGCCACAAACAAATATCCTACATGTTTCCCAGTTAGGAAAACAAGATCCATCTGTTATATGCAGGAGAGAAACAAAAGACACCGACCATATCAACCAAGTTGCTACCTTTGCAAAATATCAGAAAGCTATGAAGGCAAAAAACACACCTTGAGTGGAAAACATCCAGAAAAATAACATAAATTTGATCGCTCAAGCAATATAAACAAATCCAACACTCCAATCTCCCAAAAACAAGCATCATAGGCAAGTATATTCAAACAAATAAATCCATCTAAAACAATCCAGTAAATACATAATTCCAATCGCCACGAGCGGGACCTTTTTCATAGAAAAATAAATATTTAACGGGTAAAAAATCCAAAATAACAACGAACAGCATCATTCGAAACAAATGCGCGATGCATAAACCCTAATCCAAGATGTGCACTTAAACAAAAGCAAGCTATTCATCGAATCGCAAAAAACGACGAGAAACAAAACAATATTCGTGGTATACATCGTAAACTTGGACTGGGACAAACCATATTTTCGGATCTCCGGTTCCTTCCTCCGCCTCCTCTCTAGCACTCGGAAGCGCCGAATCCACCTCTAAATACCGAATAAGCCCGACGGAGAAACCCTAGCGCACCGACGCGATCGCCACTTAAGAAGAGGTGAATGACCGTCTTACCCCCGGATGCGTTTCTGATGCGGTCCGATCCGACCCGGTCCGGCGAACCACTTAGGAGACGTGAACCCAATCGTTGATTGGAGTCACTAATTTATGGGACGTAGGTTTAAGCCGTAAATATCTTCATTCGCATGCGCACCCGTGTGAGCAAAGTTACGACGTGTAAAACATTATTTGCTCGTTTTTTTATCTATTTTATTATTAACTTGGATGCGAAACGAATCACATCGAGATATCTAATTAATCTCGATCTTTTTGTAAGTTGATATCAGATTCAGCATCCGAGGCCACTTGATAATTTCTTTTTTCACGTGAGTCTAAACTAAGTCAAGTTGATTCAATCATCACCGACATCCATCCCTAACATTTTGACGCTAGAATGAGAATCCATATATCATAAGAGACCTATGTTGTTCAATAGCCTGTGTTCTCAACCATCGACACTCTTCTACAATACTAGATATCTTTCCAAGCCTCACCAAATAGGTGCATTGACTAAGATGATACGGTTTGCAATAGCTCTAGCTCCTTAGTAGTCGACAACTCCCTTGAGGCCTATTGAGATGTCTCGGTCGATTGCGACCATTGTCACCTTGGAACACTCATAGTTGACCAAGCGTCTCGTGTATGGCGCGCCACGATCTCCTACTACTAAGAACAATAGGCTCCATCACCCTCAATTGGTAGTGCTTGAGTCAAAACAATAATAGTCAGGGGATGAGCAATTGTGACTAAGGCCAAGGTGTAAGCACCTTGATGTGTGCAACATAAGTAGTCATCGTATACAAAGAGTTTGTAGGCTTTAAGTAAGGGCTGGGGAGAGTGGAGAATGTCTCCTTTAATTTTAGAGATCTTCTCGTCTTGACTCAATTCATGAAAAAATACATGAAGGTCATGGTTGAGGAGAACTCCTATGTTGACTGCCATGAGGGCTTGTCGGTGCCTCTCGATGACAATCTCAATTTTTCCATTATATGGAAAAAAATTTTCTAGCCTGAGGAGGAGGAAGTCGAGACCCCCCCAACTTTAGATTATTCAAGAATAAGCTTTGACTCCCCCAACCACTAGTTGATTAAGAGATCGAGATTCGGATGAAAGAGAAATATATTTTTCTAGCCTGAGGTGAGAGTAAAAGATGATGCAGGTTCGATGAGCTAAAAGTAGGGACAGAAACTCAAAAGAGCTTAAGGCGTAAAATGAGCCCTATTATAACAAAAATAGTCCTTATAGCCCCAGAGCATCTCCTCAACTATAAAACATCCCATCAATAATTTCTTGCCCAAACGATGTACTATATGACTGGTGCTACATCAGCTATCTCCCACTTGACTTTTTCACTTGTCGACTCAAGACTTCTATAGTTTTTTCACTCATTGAGGTATTGCTTGTTGGTGCTAGTTTCATGATTATATCTAACACATTTTCTCTTACTAAGCATTGAAAATATGCTTGATGCACCCTTCTCGAGCTAAGTATCCAAGTTATACCCGATGCACCCTCCTCAAGCTAAGCATCGAAGATGTGCATGATCCGACCTTCCTCTAGCTAAGCATTGAAGATATACCTAATGCACCCTCCTCGAGCCTAGTATCAAATGTGCTCCTTGAGCTAAGCATTGAAAATACATCTAATGAACCCTCCTCGAGCTGAGCTTCTAAGATGTGTCTGATGTGCCCTTTTTGATCTAAGTATTAAAGGCTATCCAATTTGCACTTCTCTAGCTAAGCATCAAAAGTTACTCGATGCACGTTTCTTGGCATCAAAAGTTATCTGATACACACTCCTCAACTAAGCATCCAGAGTTGTCATAAGCATCCATCTTATGTTAAACATCAAATATTGTTGGAGGCTCTCTTTAGGGCAAACACCAAAAGTTACCAACGAGCCATCCAATAAAGCTCGTTGATTTTTTTGATGAGCGAGTCATGACTCTATAATAGAGGTGCACGTGACTAACTTGTTAAGCCTGATTGCACTTCGAGAACTCTTCGAAAGAGCTCCCGAAGCACACTTTCAGATGAGATAAATGATAAGAAAAATGTTTACCCCACTTATGACTTAACATATGGCAATCTAATCAACACTAGGAAACTAACGCCCAATAATTAGATCATATAAGTATTCATCGAATATAAAACATTCAAGGAATATTCTCTCTAAATGGATCAATTATACAAGGCTCATTAGACTATACTAATCGAGGCCAAATACTATTTACTCATATTTTCCCTTACTTCATTCCATTACTAATTTGAGCATCCTTACTTTATTTCATTGCTCAAATGCATGACGGATAAACTTTAGCAAAGTTTAAGCATACAAATACTCAGCATGAAAAAATAATTCAAAAACTTGCATTGCTTCATTGATTTGTTAACTATTAATATGATTCAAGAGTGTTTCCAATGCAGTCCGATCCGACCCAGCAAACCATCATAAGAGACGAAACCTAGCCGTTGGATCAACGAACCCACTAATTTATTGGGCCATCCCCAAGTTTGTAAATACCTTCAAATTAGTTTCTTTAAGTCATGACATGTACCGGCTCTTAAGCTTATAAATATGCTGCATGAACATAGAACCCTGCTTATCATGGAAGATCCTAAGAACTTGTATAGTTGCATCGTTTGATTTTAAGAGAATTGACATTTTAGGTTTCCAAGAAAATTATTATCCAATTTCTTTTTCATGCACCGATTAATAGCATAAAAAAAAACCCTACTCGAGGGAAATAGTTGGAGGGACCATAAATTTGCCATCGCAGAAGATGAACATAGAACTAGTTAAGCATTTGATTGATTGGAGAGAAATCATGGCCTGTGATATTGGCACACGACTGACTACTAATAAATTTCCATTCAATGAAATCATGAAATGAAACAGCATTTATTTTCCATTGCATCAGAAAACACAACTCAGCTATGGCCAAAAATAAGGCAGTCATTTATTTTCCATTGGAACACACTACGCTACATAGAAGTAATAGTAATAATCCAAAGAGTTCGAATGGGGTTTAAAAAGACCAAGCAGCACCAGTATGTCATCGTCATCATAGAGCACAAAATTTAGGCTTCGCGCAAAGCTAAGTGGGCTTAACAGTAGTTAATCCCTTCGTGAAGGGAAGGGAATTTTAATCAAGCATTGCTTCGACAATTGACTTCTACTGCTGCTTCACTTCGACCTTTTTCTTCTGCCAAAGTCTATCCAAAGAACCATCAGCATCACCCTGCGGGAAAGTTGTGGAACAAGATGAACTTGTCAGAAGCATACAAGCCGTACAGCAATTGACGCAAGTAATGCAAAGGCAACAGGTAGTCATGCCCTATGGTCGAGCTAAGAACCATTTTATTATCCAACATGTCATCACTAGATGTAAGTAATGCTATTTGATCAGACAAATGTGTTTGATAATGAGTGGCACATTTCCATGTCAAACAACCGTTCAGCCTACTGATCTTATGAACAAATTTCGGTCTATCAGTGGTTAGTATGTAGAAGCATTACAATGATCACGTAAATAACTCTCGACTGGTGAAATAATATTCCAATGAGAGAGGCCATCTGAGCTAGCTTGTTTTATTACAGATAATATAATTGTTAAAAAACCCCTTTTTTGGCTCAAGTTTATGATGATTACTGACATGTTAATTAATAACACAGATAAACAACTCAAATGGACTCTCCGAAGGGAAAAGCTACGATGATGCACCAACATAACATTCATGTAAATCTTGTTATCATTATCAGTCGTAAGCTTTGTTGTGACTTTGAGGAAGTGCAACGCCTTATCAAGGAAATAAGTGTTTAGGATTTAGTGTGTTGTGCCAATTAGGTTGGCAACCGTACCCATAATCTCAAAATCCAGACAGAACTTAGAGACCTAAAACAAGGTAGCTAAACTGATCCTTCAATCAGATGTTGATAACAAAAGTATCCTATTTTGTAAATCAAATACCACGCAAACCACAATCAAACAGCTAATTGGGTAACATAATGACAAACTACAATAGAAAAATTGTCACAATTTTTTTCCCAAATACAGCATAAAAACTATGTAATGCCAGAAACTAACAATTAGGACAAGACCCTTTGTCATACAAATAAAGGAGACTTAGTGAACACAAATACAAGTGACATGAGCACAACAACATACCCCTAAGGATGGTGAATTTTCATGTTACATGAGCTTTCCACTCAACAGCTCCCCCTCCCCCTTCTAGTAACCTTTGGATACATAAAATAAAAGGCCATTGTAGAAGAAAGGAATGTGATTTTATTCACTATTCCCAATAAGTTTTGTTGTATTTATGCCCAACTAACAAGAATCCTTTAATCTCAAGAGTATTATAAATTTAATCTCTTTATTTTCTGCAATCTTATGGTTTCTGTGATGTAGATGATTTTCCTCGTTTTTGTAAGTCTTATACTTATTAAGCTACCACACTAATCCAGCAAAATAATTTGATTGTCCCTAAGACAAGATTCCAATACTAATCCCGAAATCAATCCTAGTCTCTCATACTTCAAACCTGGATTACATTCGGTTGGAGGACATCTTTTCGTGAGGGAAAAAAGGTCAGAAACTTAGAAAAGCAACCATAACAACATTAATATATCGGGCAATGTGCTCATTTTCAAATAAGTCTTCAATAAGCAGCGATATTAAAAGAAGAAAATAGTAAAAATGGCCTCATATTTTCCTTAAAAAACAGTAGCATATCAACCACGACATAAAGAACAAATGATTCCAGAAAGCATGAATAAGTACATCAGAAAATCCAAAAGTGGCAGCAGACCTGAGCTCGGATAAAGCCAGAAAGTGCAAAAGTGGAAAACTGGCCGGTGTAAACGCCACTCTCATCCAAATGCCCAATATTGATCTGGACCGAGGCATGATCCTTGGCTGTAATGAGCCTATTGGTAGCAGAACTACAACAACAACATCGAGGTTGATCATCATAAGATGTAAAATCACGCTTTACCACAAAAAAGATAGAAGCTCTCCACGAAATTATAGGACGATTACCATTTCCTTGGGATGTAGAGATCCGTCATCTCACCCGCTTCGTTCTGCATCTTGTCAGTCGATTCTCTTGCCGAAATATGTGCACAACGATCACAAAATCACCTAAATAACAAAGATTTGAATCATAAATCAGATCGAGGCAACCAATACCAAACCTGCGCCTTCTTCTGGGCACCACAATTACAAGGAAACATGCTCTAAAGGGGAAAAATTTTCTGTTTCGAAAGGAACAACAGAACAGCCGCAGAACGTCAAAGTAATCAAATCATAGCACGAAATCTTTCCACGAGCCAATAAACAGAAATTCTGAGGCAAAAGAAACAATATCAACCACAGAAATCATAGCACGAAGAATCGAAGAGTAGTTTTGCATTTGCGAGTCGCACCGGAAGCAACGGATGCGACCAACGGGAAGCAGCGCCGACGCGGGGCGGAGAGCGTCTTCGAGATGATATATATAGCCAGTCGCCAGCCCTAGTTTCCGCACGTGCTAGTTCTACTCACACGTGAGACGAACCAGTTCAGGAGTGGAACCGGTGAAATGACCGAGCGAGAGCCGGTCCAACCTTAGATGATGGACCAAATGTGTTATTTGGTTCTCAGGATTGACCGATCCAAGCTTTAATGAAATCGAATCTTGAACCGGTTTCGCTAATCACATATGGAAACTGAGCCGAGGCTGAGTCGATAAATAATATCATGTAAATTATTAGTAATTATTGATAGAACATGTTTTGACATCACCCACGTACACCAGACAAGTAGACACGACAATACAGACATGAAACCTCAAGTACGATGTGGTGCACAGCACACACGTGATGGGCAATCGCTTGTCGCTCCCTCCGTATGAATGATATCATCATAGTATAGTCGTCTTGGAAAGCTTGGGGCGGCGTCGCGCAGCACCAATCCATGCAAGTCGATCGATGCTCGTACAGAAGCTAAAGTCGATCGTCCGAGGAGCTTGCTGCAGTTAATTGACCCTGTATAATCAACTCATACTCGTAAGTATAAAAGCTAACTCTCCTTGATCAGGAGGGGGGAGGACTTCGAACACTCAACTCTATCTTATTTCATCAAAAGCTAACTTAAGCTTCGGATGAATTAAGTCGAGAAATCTCCCTCTCGACCTCGACCTGTGTGCAGGAGTCCAGCAACGAAGAAGGAGGCCACTTGTCAATTGAGAAGACCGTGCTCGAGGGATGAGGCTCGAACTCGATCAGACCCGACCCAATTCTCGCCCTCACTATCCAAGCATCTACGCGGACAACCTTGTATATCTGGGACTGGATCGAGCCGTGCTAACACCTCAACCACGGTGTAAAAATTCACCAACAATAACTAATCTAAATTATTTTGTTATTGATCTAAATATCCGCATTAAAATCAAAATCCCAAGTGATTCCATTGCTAAAACACCAAATCAATGTCACATTTTGATTTGTCCAAGTAAGATTGGTCTTCTGTCTTGGATCCCATGTCAGGTTTAGGATGATCTTAGTGCCGTAGTAGAAGGCAATTATATGTTCCATGTCATTTTTCATCTGCGGCTAAGCTTGGAATGAAAACTCAAAGAGTAAAAATCCCCAGTCAAATGCGAACGCATCCATTGGAAGATCTCTACACCACCAAGATCCTCTCTTCTTCTCTTTGTTGGTAGGACAAGGAAGGAGAAAGCAATACTGGAATACCAAGAGTTCCTTTCTTCCGAGAGAGAGCGAGAGAGAGGTATTTGTACTCTCCACCGAGGAAGAGGTCGAAAGAGCAAGCACCACATGATGATGAGGCCGACGCAAAGCTCCCTCCTTTCGGTCGCCCTCCTCCTCCTCCTCCTCCTCGCCGCCGCAGCGGCCGCCAGTGGAGGAGGAGGGGGCGAGGTCCCGCTCGCCTGGGTCCCCTCCCTCTCCGGGTGCCGCGGCACCGTCGCGGAGTGCCTCGCCGGCGAGCAGTTCGACCTCGGAGCCGAGGTGACCCGCCGGATGCTCGCCACCTCCAACTATGTCAGTTACGGCGCCCTCAAGCGCGACACCGTCCCCTGCTCCAGCCGCGGCGCCTCTTACTACAACTGCCGCCCCGGCGCCCAGGCCAACCCCTACTCCCGCAGCTGTTCCTCCATCGCCCAGTGCCGCGGTTGAAAAGCTTCCATATAAAAATACGCCAATTTTTAGGAAGAACAAGCACGAATTTGGTATGTGATTTGGTTGCTTCGCTCCAGTTTCAAATAAATGGTGTCGTTCTTGATGACGCTATTGTTGTTTCGGCGTTGTAAACAGCGCTTTCATGTGATTCGTGTAAAAAAAAGCTTAATTTAGTTGATCATGGCTCGCTTCCGTTTCCTTCTATGCATTTCCTCTCCAAAAAAAGGTCTCCTTTTAGAAAAAGGAACATGATTTAGGCGCAGATGTTATTTCCAAGTTTTGATGCTCAAACATTCTTGCACTTCTTGATGCTTCGAGCTACTAGAATGTCTGTAACGAAAATGTGATTCTTTGCCATAATTGAGATCTTCTTCGTCTTGTTCTAGATTTCCTGTTGATGAGAAAATAAAAATATAAGCATGATTAAAGAGCTTTAGTAATTGGTAACACAGTGGGTTTGGTTTAAGGGTAATGGAGTTGAATTATTAGAACTGAGATGGTGCTATTGGTTTCTAGTGCTTATTGTTGTTGTTTGGATGCAAAAGAAGTTAAAATTGCAGATTGGAAATGGATCAGCAAGATCTCCTGTTAGCCACTAGAAACCAAAAGGTGAGGGACAGGGCATCCAAAGGTCAGTTTAATATATTAGTGTGGCAGCACTTACTGTGTAACTGCTTTAGATAGGTAAAATTTATGATTGGTTTGTTTTGAAGTCAGTGAAGATGATGTGTGAACAAGGATGGCTAAGGTAGGGGGGGTCTATGTTTTACAGAGAGAAAGGTGAAACCTCAGAAGAGCACACCCTCCACCCCAGAATCCCAAAAGGATAACTTGGAACTCTTGCCTTCTCTAAGTTTTGATGCTTATGTTACTTTATTCTCTTTTATTTAGGTTGGGATTTCGAGGTGTTGACCATATGTTCCATAGTGCTTGTGACTGGCATTTATTTAAAGAAAGAGGACCCCAGTTTCTATGATCTACTCTTGCAAGTTTCAGTAAATTGGTGAAATTTAGCCATGTCTTTTACAGGTATGTCTTCCTAGGATGGGCTTTTGTTCTAAGGAGATTTGACAAGAACATCATAGAGAGACTTTAGTCTACAAGGTTTTGATTCTTACTCCTGACTAATGATGGGTTATCTTGTGTTAGTATTTATCTTATTTAGCTGCCAACTTAAAAGTCAGGGGTTTAGGATGCCTTCTAAAAGAGCTACCATCATCTTTGTGATTGCTCATGTATTCCTTCTAAAAGAGCTACCATACATCAACTTTATATTTTTTTTCTTTGCACGGTTTGAAAAATAGATTTTTGCCATCCTTGATTTTAAGAACATGTTTGAATAGCAAGCATTGATAAAAAGCTATGATAAATATGTTTCAGATGACAAAAGAGATATAAAACATATCTTTTTACCTTGTTTGGTTTTGATACAAGGAAGAGATGAATATTGCTTTTCATGGGCTTAGTGGAAAATATAGACTGGGAACCAGGGAAGCTATGTATATTTGCGTAGAAAGATTCTGTCTTGGTTTTTAAGTGGTTGCAACATCATTTTCAACTCTCTTGTTCTTTGTCCACCGATAGCTACCTTGAGGCCAAGTCTACCTGGACTTGAACATGGAGACTCAAGGAGGGTCTTCCCTAGAGAACCTAGTGTTTTTAAAAGAAAGAAGATACTTTAATCGAAAAATGAAAAAGGAAAACTTGCTGATCCAGTTATCGACTTTCAAGTTAATGGTTCCTGTTCTTATTTTCATATCTCAAACAATTGTGCGAGCACAAGACCAGTCATAGCCAGCTGGAGACTCTGTAGGGGATCGATGTTCTTGTAAATTATGTCCCCATCTTGCAATGTTTGCCTCGTCAGTTTGAACATAAACATCTGATTTCTGCTATAAGTGAATTCACACATGCCACTGGAGTTCCAAGGTCAGGAATATCGATTCATATTTAGCTTGAAGGAAGAAAAACCTTGAAAGCAGACCTTAACAAATTTTTGTTTCTGTATCTATGTTAGTTCTATGAAGATAAAACATGTTCTATGTACCTTTAAGTTATGAGAAGTGATAAGTCGAGTCAATATTATGCTGTGACCCTCAAAGTATGACATTTCTGATAGGTACTAATTACCTAGAATCTAACTGCAGTAGTCATGGCCAACCAAAGTCGGTAGACTTGACTCAGACAATCATCAGACCTGGAGCACATGAATAATGGTACACTCACCCAATCTAACAGTGGCAACCAGATGAACCAGCCAATTTGATGTTTCAACAGCTGCCAATAGTGGCATTGCATCGAGAAACTGTCCTCTCAGGTCCACACTGGTTTGATTTGTTTTTCTGGATTTACTGTCAAGGTTTTATGTCGTAGTTGCCAACAAGAGGAGCGAAAGAATCTTTGTTCTTGGTTTTTTAGAACAGAATGTATAAAGCTTTGTTCTTATCATAAGGAATGGTTTCATGGGAACTTGTTTTCTTGTTTCTGAAGAGTGTAAGCTGAAAGTTTTCGAAACAGGACAAGAAACTCTGGAGTGACATAAAACATTAACATGTCACCCTAATATGAAGCTGTTGTTCCTTGAAAGAGAGAACATAGACATCAGTTGGTACTTTGTGGTTTGGATCCAGCTCATGTTGTCTTTTCAAGGTTCTATATCTGATGCTTTAGATCTACCCTGGAATGCTGAAGCAAGTGGGTGCTATTCTATGTTGTTAGATCTGAGAATTTGACTGGTAAACACCTCATGTGTGTCTCTGATCTGTGTCAGATCCAAATCAAGGTGATTTCCACTGCTGAAAAAAAGTCCATCAAGAGACATGCTGTGCTGTGATGCAGAAATCAGATCTACAAGCTCAGCAGCACATTCGAGTTCCATCATCTGCTATCCATCAAGGATGGAGTTGCCAACAACCCCCAGTCTGAGCTAGTGCAAGTGAATGAAAGTGATGCAGACATCACACAGTAGCAGTTGGTGGTGTAATCTCTCTGCTTCTGCTACCAATGCATGCACAACGGATAAAATATATTGATAGAAAAAAAGATTTGATGGACAATATGTTGTGGTAAGGAAACATTGGTAAAGTGAGCTACAACTGAAGTAATAATATGAAGGCTTCATGAAGTGGGAGGAGGGATGTTAGTGTCTGAAATAATGCAAGGGAAATCTCTCTTTGCCTGCATCAGCAGACTACAGTTGCAGCCAACTGGCAAAACATCTGCAACTCATTCATAAACAGTAACCGCAGAATTCGCAAGCACAGCATCAGATAACTTTTTTCCTCTGGCAAGCTTTGCCTCAGACTGAACTTAAATCTAGAGCAACCTGCAGGCTCACAACTGAGCCATGGAAAGTTTAGGAGAACAATTTCATTGATTGAAAACTGAGTCCTCCCTCTTGGCTTTGCACACATCTGCAGATTCTGTGGTTAGTTTCCATCCATAGTGCATTGTATACTGACTAGAAAAAAAAAAAAAACTGCTTATTAATGTCATACAGCCTCAATAAGGTATGTAATACCATACCGTACCGATGTTTCGAGGTTGGCTCGATACGATACGATATCGTGTACCGTTTGTTAGGGTAAACAACTTTATGCCATGGCCTCGGGGCCGACGCAGCTTGGTTCGGGTCCGAATGTGCGGGGATCTTGCGCGGCGTTCCTCGGGACAGCTGGGGTGGCTGGTTACGATGATCCGGGCGGGACGTTGCGTGGGGAGTAAAGCTTTTCCGTGGCACTGGGAAGATGCAACCTCGCCCTTGTACCTGCACACAGGTCGGGCCGGGAGCTCGGCCCGACCCCTCCGACGATCAAGTCAGTGATGTGGAGGGGGTTTAGGAGGAGGAAATGCCTCCATATAAGTGTTGTGTCTGTGTTCGTTTGTCTCCCCCTTCGTATAGAACTCTGGGGTATTTATAGATGAGTTTGATGTTACCTGATGTGATTGCCTGCAGGAGCAGGGACGTACCTCCGATGGCGTCTGACATTGCCACTGGGGTTGCGTGGAGAACCGGTTGCCGCAGGGTATGGGCGAGCCTCGGTCGACGTCCTCCTCTGCCTCGGCTGAGCGCGCGGGGTCAGACGGTGGAGTCGTTGACTGGGAGCGGGTGACGTTGGCGCATATCGAGTCGGGGTTAATGCCCATTTCCTCGGGCAGTGTGTTGTACAGGCATGGCTGACGTCAGGGCGTGTCATATTACCATTTTTTACCCTTATCATATTCCCCCCCCCCCCCCCCCCCCGAAAGGAGCTATGCATCGGTTGTTGTACAAGGGGAGGCCGATGCATGGCTTCTGTCTTCAGGCGGGCGGGCCGTGCGGACGCGGTCTCGGGGAACATGGAGCCGAGGAGCACGACGCAGGCGGGCTGGCCGCGTAGGTGTGGTCTCGGGAGGCATGGAGCCGAGGAGCACGACGCAGGC